CCCCGCCCCACCCCCTTAAGCCAACACTATCCCATTCCAGCTTCCAGATGTGTGTAATCGTTTACACTTTGCCCCTCAGCTGGCCTGCGAGATGAGCTAGGGAGCGGGGCGAGGTGGGGGCCAGCCCCTCTCCCCTGGTTGCTGGCCGGCCAGCCGGCCGGCCTCCAGGACAGCCAGACCTCTTCTGAAGTTCGTCCTCCCTGTTTGGGTTTTTCTTCTTTCAGAGCTGGTGCCTCTCCTCTCTTGCCCTTTCCAGGAAGGGGGTGGAGAGCTGGGCTTTGGGATTCTCCTCTGTGCGTGCCTCACCTTCTTGGAAATAACGGAGGGTGTTAAATGGGCTTAATGAGCTTCCCTGGGGGAGCGGACTGACTCTTCCATGCCCTGGAGGGCGGGACCAGATCCATTGAGTTAAACCTACAAGGAAGGAGGTTCACTGGGAGGAACTTCCTCACTGTAGGAGTTGCCCACCGGGGGAACAGCCGCCACAAGCCATGGCAAGCTCTCCTTCACTAGAAGTCTTCAGGCAGAGGCAGGGCAGGCGTCTGTCCAGGACCATCCTGCACTAAGCAGGGGGTTGGACAAGGTCACCTCTAAGGTCAGTTTCAACTCTGAGTCTATTTGACAGTTTCCCTGTATTTTGTCAATTTCAGTCCCTTTCTCCAGCATGGAAGAAACTGGTTGCTCAACAGCTGGTCAGCCTCAGTACTCTCATTCCATAGGACCAAGGTCTCCACCCCAGCAGGATCTCCCTCCTTCCCATCTGGTGCTGTTCCTGCCCTGGTCTTTCTCTGCCTCAGTGAGAATCTATTTGTTCGGTTACTTTAAAATGGTTTATATAGTCACTGTCACCCCCATGCGTCTCAATGTCATATTCATTTTAGTTTGTAAGATGCCCCATTAGGGGTAGGATGATGACCAGACAAACCATCCTGAAACAGCTAGAAGAGTTGAAATTGTGCCACGGTGCAACGGTGGCAGGGGCACCTTGTTTGTTCTGCCAGGTTCCTGTGGGTGGATGCTTTTGTGAGGGCTAGCGATGTGCTGAAAGGGGCAGCTGGCAGCCTGAAGAGGAAGCCAGTGCCTTGGCTAGAATGACTGGCGCACCCGCAAATCAGAGGGCATCACATTTCAGGCAGGGCAGCAACTGTTGTTTAGATAGCTAATTGGATTGATTGATTTTGTCAATTAATTGGCCACCTCAATTGCCGAAGCACCTCTAAACGCTATAACAGATTAAAGGCAAATCCAACAGAAAAGCAATGGGCGGTGGGGAGGACACCGCTCCCATCAGAGAAATGACTGGTTACATGGCGTACAAACCAGTATCACAAGCAGGATGAAACCCTGCCCAGGGTCTTCAAGGCTTTCCTCAAGGGCAACAGGATTAGGGCCATAGGGGTGGCCACAGAAAAAGGGTGCCTCCAGAGTGCTGTAAGGTGGCACTGCCACTTCTTCGCCAAAGGGACCTGGAGGATCCTGACCCTGTTGGATCTTACTGGATTGGCAGAAACAATCTGAGAAAAGTGGTTCTGCCAGTATCCAGCCTCCTGGCCAGGAAGGGCTTTGAAAGTGACAACCGGCACCTGGAAGCCAGCTGGTAACCGGTGGCAGTTTGTAGAGAAGAGGTGCCTCGTGGGCAAATGGGCGGTATCTGTAACCGCTGGCGCTGCTGCATTCTGGACCAGCTGCAGCTCCTGGGTGGTCTTCCAGGGCAGCCCCACGTTCCTTGTGGTTTGAACAATATCAACCTGCTTCGGTTCTGAGCATCTGGGAGCCAAACAAAAGTTAGGTGGCTCCCAAAGAAATGCTTCTAGTTTAAAGAAATAGACCTGTGGAGCAAATCAAAATGACTGCACGATAGGGAGCCGTCGGCAGGCTACCCGAGGCCAACCTGAGGCAGGAGAACCTGGACAAAGCCAGGATTCAGACCCACGCCTTGGGCTTGGCATGGAGGCAAAACAGTTCAGGATCCAGGAATGAGCATGATTCTTGTGGGGAGGGGGGATCAGGAGCTCTGGATCCATCGTGCGTCCAGTTGGGAAGCACTCAGCTGCAGGTGGACTTTGGGGATAAGGGA